AACTGCCGGAACACAACAATGCTGTTAACATTGTTGTTATGGCGACAGACTTAGGTAAGATGGTGGTAGCTAGCCAGGTGGACTTGGAACAAGCCCTACCACCAACCAAACCAACATTTGTCGAAGAGCTAGTGATAATAGTTTTTATTTTATGTTCCATTAGGCAGGTTGCCATAGTTATCATCGTCAGGTCATTTAGTCTCCACTGCAGGAGCGAAACATTTCAATTTACCAGTGACAATTCGTTTTTTATTTGATTTGAAATAAATAAAAATATGTACATACATTCGTTTAGTTGACTTTGAAAAAGATTATTGGACAACTAGCCTGTTGCCTGATGAAATGGTATATCTAAATATAATATAACTCAAAGGTGACTGACTGACTGACTGACTGACATAGTGATCTATCAAAGCACAACCCAAACCACTGGAAGGATCTGACTGAAATTTGGCATGCAGGTAGTATGACGTAGGCATCCGCTTGGAAAGGATTTTACGAAACTCCACCCCTAAGGGGGTAAAACGGGATCCACGAGTATAAAGTCGCGGGCAGCCGCTAGTAATTAAATAAATAAATATTTACTCCGCCATTTTCCGCAATTGCCACTTTACTAGACTGGGCGGTACGAAGTTCGCCAGGTCAGTTAATATTCGGATAAAGTTAATTAAACTAAATATTTGACAGAAGCATAATATGGCGGCCTGCCAAGTGGGTACGAGTATGACCGCGATGTGTGTTTATTTATTTAAGTAGTATGCGGAAGTGTTTTACTCACACTAACGCCCGTATTCACAAACGATGCTTGCTTAATTGAAGCAGCAAATTGAACGCACAGCGTTGAATAGAGCTCTGTGATTGGTTCGTTCGTTCGTTCGTTCGTTTCAGCCAAATGACGTCCACTGCTGGACAAAGGCGTGATTGGTTCGTGTGTGAAAAATTCAAAATTCATAAAACTCATTTATTTTTGCAAATAGGCTTTTAAAAAGCACTTTTACACCTGCCAATTTAACCCTACCACTGCTTCGGGACAATAAATGGGCCAGTGCTGAGAAGAAGCAGCGCAAGAAACTGTAACTTATGTATGAGTGCCCAAATTGATGATTGCGACTAACACCTCTGTATTCACAAACGATGCTTGCTTAAGTGAAGCAGCAAATCGAACGCACAGCGTTGAGTAGAGCTCTGTGATTGGTTCGCGTGTCACCCTGTGCGTCCACGCGCACTGTGAGAACTCATAGTAATGTTTGTGAATACGTTTCTTCTGCCATTAGAAATTACTGCAATGAGAAATATTGAGACACCAGCCGATGAGCGAGCTATAATTTATTAATTTGGGCCGTTTTGTCCTTGAAAAGACCTACATACTAACAAAAAACATGATTCTTATGCAGTCAAATTACATAATTTTCTTGTAAAACAGCATCATCCAAAAGATGCCTGTTAACCTCGACACTTCTAACCCAAACTTATCATTTCTTTGTTCGTACGAAGTATGAACTATGGCAGGGCGGGGGCGGGGTGCGCCCTTGGCCCACATCGCAATGCACCCCCTCCCACCGACCTAGTGTCTAAAGCGCTGCAAGCGCTGCATCTGTGTTGTACAGCACTGGCCTATTTATGCCAGAAGCAGTAGATTTGAAGTAATACAGGGACGTGGAAAAGCGCTTTTAAAAGTCTATTTTTGCAGTAAATAAATGACTTTGATGACTTTGACTAAACTTGATCAACCAATTAATCTAAGAGGGTTAGATGGTTCAAGTATAAAAATAACTGCCTGTACTATGCGGAAAGTGCTTTTTGTATGTTTTTTACAATTTTACGCCTACCCTAGTCAATTGACATACTTTTTATGAGGTGTCAAAACGTGACTTCCTCTTCTCTTGTTTATGGGTAGGTCTGGGATATTACAAATAATAATAATAATAATAATAAAAATCTTTATTTTTCTCCACAATCTAACTGACACAAAATTATTACAATAAAAATAGTACATCATGTATATAATAGATTGTGAGAGACTGGTGTCTGAGCTAGGCGAGAAGCCTGTATTACAGAGACCAGTACTCTCAACTCTCGGAGGATCCGTTTGTACATACAATGTTAGAAACACGTAAAAAGTCTACAAAATTGGAGATAAAAAGTTACGAATTACAAAATATAGCACTCTAAGAAATGTTTGAGATCGCGCTTGTGTGTGTGTGTGTGTGTGTGTGTGTGTGTGTGTGTAAAGTGCAGACCTTGAGGACTGCCCTTTGGGCTCTCTCCAACTTAATCAAAGCAGATTTACAGGCACCTCCCCAAGAAGTTAAACAATATAGTAGGAGCGATTGACAGAGAGCCAGATAAACGGTCCTGACCAGGCTAGGGTCTGCAACGTGGCGTAGATTTCGAAAAACATACATCAGTTTGCGTAGCCTACCAGCGGTCTGGCTAATGTGGGCCTGAAATGTAAGTCTGTTGTCTACAATCACTCCTAAGTATTTAATAGATTCGGAAGAACTAAGGGTAGGACAGTTGCATGGAAATGTGGCTGGATCAGAGTGAGAGTGTGCAACTATACGAAAGTTATCAATAACATTTGGGGAAATATTTCTAATTGAGAAGGAAAGATATTGGGTTTTCTTAACATTTAAAGTGAGAAGATTAGCTCGGAGCCAATGAGAAACCATATCGAACCCAAGTTGAGCGCACTGGAAGGTTTCATCCCAGGTGTCAGCAGTGAAAACAAGGGCTGTGTCATCAGCAAACGAGATAACCCTGCAGTTCGGGATGTTAAGAGAGCAGAGGTCATTTATATATACAAGGAAGAGCGTAGGGCCAAGGATGCTTCCCTGAGGAACCCCATACTCCATAGGAAGGTGAGAACTAGTATTTCCGTCGATTGTGACAGTCTGACTGCGATGTGAGAAATAACTCTGGAACAAGGCAAGTGGGACACCTCGAACTCCAACCGCTTCCAGTTTTTTCAGCAGGATGGGGATCGAAACCGTGTCAAACGCCTTGGCTAGGTCCAGAAAGATTGAGACACATTTACTGCCCTTGTCCAGACTCCTGGAGACATGATCAGTGAGTTCATGCACCGCATCAGCCGTAGACCTCTTTGATCTAAAGCCAAATTGTCCTTGGGATAAGAGATTCTTTTGTTCGAGGTACTTGATCAATTGGTTGTTTATGAGTCTTTCCAGAATCTTGTCATCGACAAATTAAAATCAATTACTTGTTAATAATGACTTTATAGCCTTCTAGACCTTCATACAAAATCTATGGGAGAGTCGCATATTGATAGCACATAAAAAGTGTGTCAATTGACTATTATGTATGGTGAATTGGTTACCACTTCCCTTTACTAGTGGTGTCTGTGCAGTTTATCAATTAATCCTTTAAAAATCCGCCGGATATGACATCTCTTCAGTTATTATCTCAAATTCAAATTCTTTAATAATAAGTAGGCCCTTTTCATGGCACTTATACGTCCCAATATAGCTTGTCTTACCACCACCGCTACAACATATCGCTAGTGCTGAGAAGTGGCAAAAGAAAAATTCCCAGAGCCGTAAAACCAAATAAAAAAACAAACATTGCCGCTGCATTTTCCACTCAGCGCACCGCTTAAACTGGACGGCGGCACGTAAAGCGCTGTAGCGCTGCGCAGTGCACCCGCGTTCTATTTTTAAAACCAGGGCGTTGGCAACAGAAACGCGATACTCTTTATGGATATGCCCAAATAGCGCTATAAGCTATGCATTTTCTCTTTTTCGTTAATGGCGGGAAAGTCGATTCGGCCAGGCAGGTGATAATTTGTTTTAGAATTAATTTGTGATCGATTATATTGCTTTAGTCTCTAACGCATGATGTTTTCACCTATAATTAAGTTTGCATTTAACAAGTGTCATTTTTTATAGTTACTTTTGTGAAGCCTCAATGTAACCTTGTTGGTGTTCAAATAAATAAATAAATTATGTTTTTCTCATGATAATTTAAGAAGGCCAGCGAATTCTATTTGTTCAAATAAACCACTGTTCAAGCACTGGCCCATTTATTGTCCCGAAGCAGTGGTAGGGTTAATACTAGGACGTGTAAAAGTGCTTTTTAAAGCCTATTTGCAAAAGTAAATGAATTTTATGAGTTTTACTTTAGTCAATTGACATACCGCACACTTGAATGGAGAGTAGTACAACTCAAAATTCTTACTTTTATAGGAACAGTAAGTAGTTGACTTAGCTTTTGATGCAGATTGCGATAGTCGGTATTGTCTTACTTTGAGTCTTATTCCAGTCATTTGGTAGTTTTACCTGGAAAGTTTTCCGGGAGTTTTGAAAATTGGTATTTATATGGATTTTGATGTGTTCTTTCCGAATTTCAACTTTGCGACCTCGTACGATTTTCGCACGCGCCGCTATTTTGAAAAAATGCAAAGTAGTGGAATTGACCCTCTTTGTTTGATCAAATAAAACACAGAACCGATGGCTGATGGGGCAGCAAGGTTCTGAAATGAAGGCCGCGTACCGGAAAGCGCAGCGTGGGACGTCCACCCACAAGGTGGACCGACGACATCATAAAGGTTGCAGGGAAGCGCTGGACGCAGGCCGCTACCAATCGATCAACATGGAAAGCATTGGTGGAGGCCTATGTTCAGCAGTGGACATCCTATGGCTGAAATGATGCTCATCATCATCAACAGCCCTTTACAGTCCACTGCTAAACTATGAGCTTCCTCCACTATAGTGGAGGTTTTTGCCATAATCTCCACGCTTGGCAGGCGGGTTGGAGATCGCAGTTTAAACGATTGATGTTTGAAGACCGTGTGGTGACGGCAGAGTAGAATACATTTGTCACCAACCCCTACTCTTCCCACGGGTGTGTCGTAAGAGGCGACTTAGGGACTACACATCAAATAGAGAACGGGCAGCAGCGCTCTCTGAAATGATGATGATGATCATGAAATAAAACACTGTCAACTACCCCATTATTAAATTGGTGTTTTCTCTCGTCCACAGATGCACAGCTGCTCCCCGCTGCCGGCGGCGGGCGCGTCGGGCCCGCGGCTGCTGCTGCAGCTGGGCCGGCTGATCGTGCGCGCGCGCTCGCCCGCCGCGCGCCGCCCGCGCCCGCTGCACGCCAAGCGCCAGGCCAGGGAGCCCAGCGCGCAGGTACTTATTTCGTTCATTCATTCATATGTTCGTTAAATCGTTCATCATTCATTCATTCGTTCACTTTTCTTTCTTTATCGTCCATTATTCATTCATACATTCATTCTTTCATCATTCATTCATTCATCATTCGTTCATTCACTCTACCCCGCCGCGCGCCGTACCTGCCCACTGCACTCAAAGCCCAGCGCGCAGGGAAGACTACACTCGGGACTTTAAGGTCCCACGCCAATTGGGCATGGAATGGACACCCGCTGCGTCATTGTCATCATTTCAACAGGACGTCCACTTCTAAACATAGGCCTTCCCCAATGATTTCATGGTGACCGGTTGGTAGTGGCCTGCATCCAGCACCTTCCTGAGGTTTCTAGCCCACATTTTGACCTTGCCTAGTGCGATAACCCAGCGCACAGGTAATGGAACTATTCCCTCACCTCTCGTTCCCATCGCTAGGATCTATGGTTTGATCTCCAGTAAAAACCCCATCAATGAAGGCTCAGGTAAGCCTGCTCAAAGACCCGAGGTCGTTAATCTATCCGAACCATGAGTGATATGTCCCGCTGGGCTAGCAGCCTCTGCTCGCGCGCGCCTCAGCCGCACAGCTGTTCCCCGCTGCCGGCGGCGGGCGCGTCGGGCCCGCGGCTGCTGCTGCAGCTGGGCCGGCTGATCGTGCGCGCGCGCTCGCCCGCCGCGCGCCGCCCGCGCCCGCTGCACGCCAAGCGCCAGGCCAGGGAGCCCAGCGCGCAGGTACATAGTTCGTTCAACATTCATTCTTTCATCATTCATTTATTCGTTCGTCATTCAGTCATTCGTTCGTCATTCAATCATTCAGTCCATCAACATTCATTCATTCATAAGGTTATCATTCGTTCATCATTCATTGATACAGTCGTTCACCATTCATTCATTCATTCGATCATCACTCGTTCATCGTTCATTCATTCGTTCACCATTTATTGCCGCGCGCCGCCCGCAACCCTTACACGCCAAGTGTCGCCAAGCCAGGCCAGGGGGGTTCTCTACACGCAGGTACATAGCTCATTCAATCGTTCATCATTCATTCACTCACTCCTCCCCGCAGCGCGCTGTTGAACTTGCTATACGTCAAGCTCTGTGTTTAGTTAGTAATAGTTCGTTTAATCGTTTATCATTTATTCATTCGTTCACCATTCTTTCATTCACTCCTACCACGTCGCGCGTCGCCCGCGCTCGATGCACTCAGAAACCAGCGCGCAGGTAAACCTACTTTCGGTATTTTAAGGCCCCACGCCATTTGGGCATGGGATGGACGCCCGCTCCACTGCTGAACATAGGCCTCCCTCAATGATTTCCAAATCCAGCGCCTTCCTGCTTTATGAGGACGTCGATCCACCTTTTGGGTCACCTTGCCAAGCGAGAGAACCCAGCGCGCAACTCCTGTGTAGCCAGGATTTACGCTTGATCGCCAGTAAAAACCCCATCAATAAAGGCGCAGATAAGCCTGCTCAAAGACCCGAGGTCGTTAGTCTACTCGCACCACGAGTGCTATGGCCCGCTGGGCTAACAGCCACTGCTCGCGCGCGCCTCAGACGCACAGCTGCTCCCCGCTGCCGGCGGCGGGCGCGTCGTGCCCGCGGCTGCTGCTGCAGCTGGGCCGGCTGATCGTGCGCGCGCGCTCGCCCGCCGCGCGCCGCCCGCGCCCGCTGCACGCCAAGCGCCAGGCCAGGGAGCCCAGCGCGCAGGTACATAGTTCGTTCAATCGTTCATCATTCATTCACTCACTCCTCCCCGCAGCGCGCTGTTGAACTTGCTATACGTCAAGCTCTGTGTTTAGTTAGTAATAGTTCGTTTAATCGTTTATCATTCATTCATTCGTTCACCATTCTTTCATTCACTCCTACCACGTCGCGCGTCGCCCGCGCTCGATGCACTCAGAAACCAGCGCGCAGGTAAACCTACTTTCGGTATTTTAAGGCCCCACGCCATTTGGGCATGGGATGGACGCCCGCTCCACTGCTGAACATAGGCCTCCCTCAAAGATTTCCAAATAAAGATAAAGATAAAGATAAAGATAAATTTATTAAATAAAAAAATTACTAAATACAAGAAACTTAAATGGGACTATGAAATTATTAAATTATTAAATCCAGCGCCTTCCTGCTTTATGAGGACGTCGATCCACCTTTTGGGTCACCTTGCCAAGCCAGAGAACCCAGCGCGCAACTCCTGTGTAGCCAGGATTTACGCTTGATCGCCAGTAAAAACCCCATCATTGAAGGCTCAGGTAAGCCTGCTGAAAGACCCGAGTTCGTTAATCTACTCGCACCATGACTGATATGGCCCGCTGGGCTAGCAGCCACTGCTCGCGCGCCCCTCAGACGCACAGCTGCTCCCCGCTGCCGGCGGCGGGCGCGTCGGGCCCGCGGCTGCTGCTGCAGCTGGGCCGGCTGATCGTGCGCGCGCGCTCGCCCGCCGCGCGCCGCCCGCGCCCGCTGCACGCCAAGCGCCAGGCCAGGGAGCCCAGCGCGCAGGTAAGACTACACTCTGGACTTTAAATTCATTCAATCGTTCAGTTCTTCATTCATTCAGTCGTTCATCGTTCATTCTTTCTTTATCGTTCGTTCGTCGTTCATTCATCATTCGTTCACCATTCTTTTACCATTCATTCTCCCCGCCACGCTCTGCCTGCGCTCGCTGTATGCCAAGCGCCAAGCCAGGGAACCTAGCGCGCAGGTACATAGTTCGTTCAATTGTTCATCATTCATTCGTTAACCATTCATTCACTCTCTCCTCCCCGCAGCGCGCTGCCTGAACTTGCTAAACGTCAGGCTCTGTGTTTAGTTAGTAATAGTTCGTTCAATCTTTTATCATTAATTTATTCGTTCATCATACATTTATTTGTTCATCATTCATTCATTCGTTCTTCATTCGTTTACCATTCATTCACTCACTCCTCCCCGTCACGCGCTCGCTGTATGACAAGCGCCAAGCCAGAGAACCCAGCGCCACGGTAATACTATCTATACAGTGTGNTTTTGTGTACTTTATGTATTTTTTAGTATTGCCTGTTATTTAGCATTATTACTGTTTTTATTTTATCAAGATATACCGCTTAGTTTAAAAGTTATTATGTTTTCTTTACAATAAGTAATTGGAAGAAAAAAAATTCTATAAAAAATTAAAAAAAAATCTCAAAAATTTTTTGACCTCTTTTTTGTCGATAAAAATAGGTCTAGTTTTATCTATTTTCATATGTACACTTTAACGTGACTCACACTGTATATTACCGTGCCAGCGCGCAGGCACATAGTCCGTTCAATCGTTCATCATTCATTAATTCATTCGTTCTCGCACAGGCAAGACTACACTCGGGATTTTAAGGTACCATTCTAAAACTGTTGCGTCATCATCATCATTATTTCAGCCATAGGACGTCCACTGCTGAACATAGACATTCGCTTTCCTGCTATTTTTATGAGGTCAACCTTCGCCTGAGTAGTTCAGAAGCTACATAAAAATGTAAAAAATCGAGTTGTACCTTTTTGTTATCCTTAGGCCTAAATATTTATTGAAGGGTAGGCGACTTATTATCGTTACTTTTTGATTCTAAGAGCAGAAATGTTTCTTATATTACTGTTAACTGTTACTGTTATTGAGTAATTAATCTTAATCCAATAATATCAACAGAATGCAATAGAGATGTTTACTTCTTCTCAGCACTAGCCATTATGTTGTCCCAAAGTGGTTCCACCACATATCATCATCATTTCAGCCATAGGACGTCCACTGCTGAACATAGGCCTCCCCCAATGACTTCCACATCGCACGGTTGGTAGGGGCCTGCATCCAGCGCCTTCCTGCTACCTTTATCAGGTCGTCGGTCCACCTTGTGGGTGGACGTCCCACCACGCTGCGTTTTCCGGTACACGGCTTCCATCCCAGAAACTTGCTGCCCCATCGGCCGTCAGTTCTGCGTACTATATGCCCTGCCCACTGTCACTTCATCTTGCTAATCCATCGGGCTATGTCAGCGACTTTAGTTCGTTTACCGACCACATTATAGAAAGCTATAAAGAACTTGAATCACATTTTTGTTGCTGATCCAATCCAACCTCATTTTCTTCTCCCAGAAACCACTATATCATGAACTATACTCACCACAGCTGTCCTTTCATTTCAGGTCCAGCAAACCCAGCCAAAACTAGAGACTGAGGAGCCGAAGCTAGGTGGCGTGGAGGCTCAGCTCGACAACCACGTGCAGGCGTTGTGGAACGATCAGATCCCCATCTGCATTGAAGTAAGTGGACTTAGAAGTCATAGAAGTCGTAGAAGTGATAGAAGTCACAGAATTCATTAGAAGACGAAAGTCATAACAGTTACAAAAGTAATCTTGTCATAAAAGTTATTTGTTTTTCTGCAAATAGGCTTCTAGCCTTGTGGTTCCAGTTAGAACCAGCTCTTCAAGTGGCTATCGTAAGAGGCGCTGCGTAAGTGGCGACTAAGGGAATTTCTTCGTTGCAGTTGCAGCTGATAAGAGGCTAAAGTATCAATACAACTTCTTCCTATGAATGTCGTAATAGGCGATTAAAAGAGAAATATACAAACATCAGCCCTAGCCAAGTGGCAAAACGTGACAGATGTGATTTCGAAAGGCCTTCGCTCCAGCGATTTTCGAAGTGCCACTTGCTTTTCTGAGCCCCAAGGCATCCGTAGCCCTTTTGGCCAGCGTGGCGAGTGTAAGCTAAATTCTCAGTTTGCTGATAAAGTACAAAGGCGTGCTCCTGCATTGCAGACTAAATGACCTGGTGATCGTGACTGTATCACAACTAGTTTCTGGCTAGCGTGGGAAGTGTAGTCCAAATCCTCTATAACCTGATAGAAATTCCTTGATTTCTATGTTTCTAACTTACTGGTTTTACCCAAAATTATGCAAATAGCTATGCTGAGTAGGCTGACAATAGTGACTGTTTCTTTCGCTGCTTCTTCTCAGCACTTTTCCCATTTATTGTCCCAAAGCAGTGGTACGGTTAAAACTGGGACATGTAAAAGTGCTTTTTAAAAGCCTACTTGCTAAAATAAAATGAGATTTTATATGAATTTGATTTTTTCCAGGTACTGCTAGCTCCCGACTGCCCGGACTGTCTAGCGTCGATCAGCAAGCCGGAAGGGGAGAGCACGTTCGACAAACAGCACACACAGCAACGGGCCATGCTGCTGGAGAGGTGGACCATACAAGCGCTGCCGAACAAGTGAGTGCGAGAAAACTAGATTAATGCCCGTTTTCACCATCAATCCCTAATTTTTAAGTGACCCCTGTGGGACGTGGGGACGCAGGACCTCCTTGAGGTCTAGGAGGGCGCTCAAGAGTTATAGGTGTAAAGTAAATACTTTTTACTTTAGGGTCTATGGTTTGTCTATGACTTTGACGTCTATCAAATGAATGTCATAGTGAAAAGTCATTGTGGAAAATTTATATAAAGATATTTTAAGAGATAATAATAAACTTTAAATGTCGTTTCTTTTATTTTACAGGTTTGTGTTATAGCCAATGAATAAGGAATTTAGTTTGTTTCAATGAGAAATGTATTAATATTGAATGAAACTTTTATTTTACAGAGCAACACATGCGTTTATTTTATCTCTATAAAGAGCACATTAAATAAATAATAATAATAAATAATAATACTTTATATTTACTTTTTAGTAATAAAACACACAGGTTTTAAAGACGTCAAAAAATATAATCAAAGACAAAAGATATAAGACGATAGAAAAGAGTAAATTATTAGAAAAAAGGATGTGCGTTCTGCACAAGGGTTATGTACTTAAAAATTAGGGATTGATGGTCATAACGGGCATAAAACCGTATCTAGACCAGGAGTTCCCTACTTATTTCGTCGCTTGCCTCTCTAACTGACGTAACTGACATTTTGCAAATTTTTCAGGTGATTAGACAGATCGATTCGTCTTTCGAAATTGATTAAGATGGTGTAGATAACTCAGTTTCGAAAAAAATGACAGATACGTCAGTTAGGAGGGCAGCGACGATTTGAGACCGTCCCCTTACGACCATAAAGCGCCTCCCTTGGGGGGCGCGCCCTCCACTTTGGGAACCCCTGTAGAGTCCAATATCAAACCAGAGAGAGCACTTGTTACCAAACAGTCACACAGAAACGTGTAACACTGTTACTTGTTGGGAAAAAAAATCCTATCAAGTCACACTGTTATTCGTTAGGACATTTGTTTAGACAGTATTTTGGTACTCATCATTTGTTTTCGAAATCATTCATTACTATTTTTTTAATTTATAGTCTAGATAAGATACAGACACTTCTAATCTTGTCACGTCACTGTACATGTTAAAAACACGCAGCGTCACATACTCGTGGTATTATGGGCACGTGTTATGTGATGTCACGCTCAGTTACTGCCATAGTGCCATTTATCATGTTTCAACGCTTCTTTTTTTTTCATTTTAGTAGGTACTTGTTTTACGAATGTAAGAAAAAAAATCCTTTTGTTTGTTTTAGAGTATGTGAGATTACAAGATCTAACATGTAAGGGCACTGCTACTATGTTATTATTTAAAGTATTTATTGCAGTAAAATTCACCTCCCTTCAACGTTCTATCTACGAGGAGACTTACTGTTGTATTGCGATACATAATTATATCGGATATCAGCCATTTTTCGAACATTGATTATAATCTCGTCTCATCCTATTTCCAGACCCCACGACGGACCAGCGTTCATCACATCACAATGGCTGCTGAACGCGGTCCGCTCACAACTCCACTTCTCGCAGCTGTCCGCTTGGCTCGCACGCCTCCAGAAGACAGAGGAGGACCCCAGCGAGCGCAGGTAGGATGCTAGCCCACTGTTGGGCAATAGGCACTTACACTAGTCCCAACAATACGACTTGTAGCTATCCGCGTGGCTCGCGCGCCTCCAGAAGACAGAGGAGGACCCCAGCGAGCGCAAGTAGGATGCTAGCCCACTGTTGGGCAATAGGCACTTACACTAGTCCCAACAATACGACTTGTAGCTATCCGCGTGGCTCGCGCGCCTCCAGAAGACAGAGGAGGACCCCAGCGAGCGCAAGTAAGATGCTAGCCCACTGTTGGGCAGTGGGATTTATGTAAATCACAATTATAACTAGTGTCCGCGTGCCTCGCACGCCTTCAGAAGACAAAGGAGGACTAGCGAGCGCAGGTAGGATGATAGCCCACTGCTGGGCAATAGGCACCACCAACAGTCCCAGCTATAATAGTTATGTCAGTTGTTCGCGTGGCGTTAACGCGTGACAGGTGGTCGCCACAAGCTCAGTCTAGTTTTAGTGACACATAACCGATTGGTTCCCCCAGTGTGGGTATACGATTTCATGCATTTCCTGATGAAAAAAAGGCCACTGTTGGCACATTCACCAACATCAATCTGTCGGGTGACTGCTGTCATTGTCACCACATTTGATATTATAAGGATTTCCACAATGACCGGTCTTGCGATGCCACATCCAAGTGCTTCCCGCGATTTTCATCAGATCGTGGTAGACCTGCCATACTACGTTTTACGCTGCTCTCATCACCTTATTTAAGTACACAGGAAACATTATTTCATAATGAAAATCAGATTTTTTTCAACAATTTCCTTTCTCTTTTTCCAGACGAAAGCTAAGCCGCGAATCGTGCAACTACAAGAAAGTCGAGGCTAACTGTGACGAGGAGGAGTTGGCCGATGAGAAACGCCAACTGAACATCGTCTACTCCATCAAGATCCCTGGCGAGAGTTACAAAATGGCGGAGTTCTCCAAACCACCAACAGACCACAACTTCCCCATCTCAGACATAGGGGACAACGTGTACCTCAAAGTGGTTCTGGAGAGTCTCCCACGAATAGATGATATACCCACAGTCAAATGTACCTGCCACAGGAAAGAGCCCGTCGGTCCCGAGGACCTCACGGGGAAGTTAAATGATCTCACATTAGGTCCTAGGTGTTCCAAGTTTCCGTCCGATCACGCCGTCAACTCCAACATCGGCACTACCTCCCGAAGGCTGTCAATCGTCTCCAATCCAGGTTCGACAGAGTTCCTCATATCCTCAGACGAAATGGAGAAGAAGGATTTGGTCGATGATCGAATGCACACGCCATGCAGCGAGAACGGGAAACACAAATGCAGCTGCGACGACGAATCGGACGGCAAAGACAATCATAGATCTTCCACTAGTTTAAGTCAGGAGCCGAAGAAACTGGACGAGCGGCGGTTAAAAGAGATAGCTAAATACAAAAGGCGTTTGCGGAAAGAGAGCAAGATGAAAAAGCTCTCCGACAGTACGTCTTCGGAGGGCGATAGTCAGCAAAAAGTTAAGGAAACACACACCTCGATTCCGATTCTGCAGGCGGCGAGATTCGACCGGCTCCGAGCGATCGGATGCTACAGAAACCAAACGTATTTGACATTGCCTGCCAGTCGGATCGAGACCAAATCGCCTTTCGTTGAAGCGGTGAGCATACCACCGCCGGAATTCAAAAGGACCAGCACAGTTGGGACCCAAACTGAGGATTTCTCTTGCCAGTGCGGTCTTCCTTTACAGGTGGCTTGCTCCAACTGTACCCAGAGTCGCTTAGTCCGCTCTGGTGGTTCGTACGATCTCGCTGCTATCTCCGAGCCGAATGGCGCCCGCCGAAAATGCGAGGACGAGGGCAACCCCCTCAAAAAGCACAAATGTGATATAAATAGCAGTAATTCTACGTGTGATATAAAATTAAATGATATAGTAGTTGATAGTTCTATAGTTAGTGATGACGTGGTTAAACGACCGAAACTCCGTCGGTTCTTCCCGATTGTAGGCCGACTGGAGAAGATAGTTTCCGATAGGTTCTCTCAGAATGCTGAACGGGATATGGAGGAGTTGCATTTGAAGACTGATGACACAGTGTTTTCTCAGCCTCAGCGGCCGGAATCTAAGCGCCAGAAGACGTTTTCGATCAGCGAAGACGATTATGTGTTGTACGAAAAGTGTGACTATGGGACGATTGATAAGTGCGAGGAGTTGTCTTCGCCGAAAGACGAGAGCGGGTTCAAATTCCCTGATCCGAAAAGGAATCAGGACGCGTTGATTCCTTCTCCTAGTGAGATGGACCGGTTTCGGTGGCGTTTCGATTCGGCTGCGTCCATGGTGTTTCATACGAAGACTGGGCTACCTTTGACATCGAGTCCAGCGCCTTTGAGGCGAGGGAACAATTGCTTCGATTTTGACGACTCGATCAACGGAATTTCCGGTATTAAAAGGTCAGTTCTTTTCTATAGTCTGGTCTGTGAGCACGGAGTATTTTGTCCAATGACCCCAAGCTACCCATCCTTATCGCTCGCGCGTAGTTATATTGCTGTCGCGACTGTGCGACGCTCGCCCGCAGTGGGTGTGCGAGCGCGACAGCAACATAATTACGCGCGAGCGATAAGAATGGGTAGTTTGGGGTCATTGGACAAAATTCTACGTGCTCACAGACCGGGCTTTATTAATTAAGGGTGGATTCGACCAAACGAGTGAATATTAACCTCAGAATAAATCGTCAGGTTTGACATATTTCCCATACTGAAACTGTCAATACTGAAGTTGTACCAGGAGTTATTCTCGGATGAAAGTTTGGTCGAATCGTGCCTAAGTCGTAATTTAAAACAGTTTAAGTTTGTTTTATTATAAGGTTTAGGGATTCACTCAGTCAGTATCTGAGGTATAGGAGCGGCACTGGAGGTTGTTTTTGTAACGTTAAATGTCAGCGAAACTTCAGATTTGTATGCTCTGTACGGCTAAAGCCCGGTCCGTGAGCATGTAGAATTTTGTCCAATGACCCCAAGCTACCCATCCTTATCGCTCGCGCGTAATTATATTGCTGTCGCGACTGTGCGACGGGCGCCCGCAGTGAGTGTGCGAGGTCATTGGACAAAATTCTACGAGCTCACAGACCAGGCATTAGCACGAAAAACTTTCGAGTTCGAATCGTTTGCGTGTTCGAATCGTTTGCGTATTCGAATCGCCATCAAAAGATTTAGTACGCAAACTACAACAGCGCCCTTGTGAACGGTCGTAAAGTTAACTTAGTATGAGAAATGGATGCACGAAACTTGTTTTGAGAATCAAAATTGTCACGTTATCGTTTAATTCGAAGATTGAGTATCGAGTTTTATCGAATATGCAAACGATTCGAAGACGAAAGTTGTTCATGCTAGAGGTACTGTACGGCTAGCACGAAAATCTTTCGAGTTCGAATTGTTTGCGTATTCGAATCGCCATCAAAAGATTTAGTAAGAAAACTACAACAGCGCCCTTGTGAACGTGTCGTAAAGTGAACTTAGTATGAGAAATGGTTGCACGAAACTTGTTTGAGAATCAATGTCATAAAATGTCAATGTGCATGCCGCTCATATACCTCTGGCACTCTGAGTTAACCACCAGGCCTATAAGCCTATATCAATACGGACTTGTTTTTGCCAGCCACTTTTCTCGGGTAACTATTGCATACGTCACACAGTAATTTATTTCTGCTGATATTAAAATGAATAAAAATTAAATGGATTTCCGAAATTGGTTAACTTTCAGATTGCGACTCGTAGGCATCGTTTACACGAATATTGTCTGCCGCGGACTGTGAGTATTCATTTCAAATCAAATCAATTAATTTATTCAGTACATAGGCCCTTTTCAAGGCGCTTGTACACGTCCCGAATACAGCTTGCCCTACCACTTCGGGACAACATATGGGCTGGTGCTGGGAAGAAGTGGCGGAAGAAAATCTGTCACTTTTGTTAGCCTTTTTTTTAATTTTTTATTTATTTATTTATTTTATTGGGCTATCAACATGAGATACAGTATTATACACAATTAAAAAAAAAAAATTAAGCCAAAGGTCTCTAGCTAACTGCTCCCACACAAACGATAACCACAGCATGCATAATATTATAATGTAAGCAACCCGTGAACTTTACACAATACAATAACATAATTATAGTAGGTACCTAATTACAACTTTGAATTTAAACAAAAAAAAGAAAGCAACAAAAAAATAAAAAATAAAATAATAAGAGGCCTCCTAGATGCATGCCACCAGGGGCACGTCACCCGTCTTAATTGTTTTTAAGAAACCAGCGAGGCTTTGAAAATGTATATCAAGTTCTGGCAACTTCTTGCTGAGATCATTGTACAAACGAGATACACGAACAATTGGTGAATTGCGACCCATCCTCGTCCTACAAAATCTATTTCTGAACAATCCACAAGGGTAACGTGGTATTCTCAAGGGCACGTTATAGGCAAGCTGACCCAGTCAATGAATAGATTTTGTATAGTTCCAAAATACTGAACTGTCCTATGCATGACATTGACAGTAGGGCGCCACCGTCAATACCGGATCGCTAGTTCCGATTTTTGCCATGTTGGAAACCATATTATAGTTGAACGATGGTAGCGCCCCCCTATCATTGAGTTTCGCGGGACAGTTCAGCGTGGGTCATCTATAATAGAGTATTCGCTGTGTGCATGATGACAGCGCCCCTAGTTACCACAATTTGCATGAAAGAAACCTGTCAGACGTGTTGACACCACTAATTAATTGACGTACTTTTTATAACTGTCAAAACGAGACTCGTAGTTTTTGCATGGCAATACAAGCAAGTGATGTCACTATTTTGTCAACTTATAATGCAACCGAAAATCTTAATTTACAGGTAATTTAAAATTGCTTATGTTTTCAAGATTAGAATGAAGGTCTTTTTAAAAGTTTTGATTTCGAATTATTGGGGAATGGTGTCAAATAGTCTGTTATGGCAACTTTACTATTTTTGGATGGTTTTTCAACGAAATTAAATGAAAATATGTAAAAACTAGCTTTTGCCCGCGGCTTCACCCCCGTGAAATTTAGTTTGTCACAGATCGTCATAAATATATGTTATTCTAGGCTATAAACAATAATACTGTAAAGTTGCATCAAAATCCATTCAGTAGTTTTTGCGTGAAAGAGTAACAAACATCCAGATATCCAAACTTTCGCATTTATAATACTAATTTATGGATGGTTTTTCAACGAAATTAAATGAAAATATGTAAAAATAAACAAAACTATTACGTATGCGATTTGAATCGATAAAATATCATTAATTTCCTACTCTGATTTCCATATTGATGTTAAAAAGGAATAAATCTTTCACAGTCAGCGGCCGACAATACGTTTGGTCTGAGGGCTGAGTGTGAGTTTATATCAAACATCGTCACTAGTCATCATCATCATCATCATCTCAGCCATAGGACGTCCACTGCTGAACATAGGCCTCCCCCAATGCATTCCATGTTGCCCGGTTGGTAGCGCCATGCGTCCAGCGCTTTCCTGCTACCTTTATGATGTCACTAGTGAGCAAAAAAGTGTCATTAAATGTATGACGGATTGTACAGCGCCCCTAGCGGAAACTTTCAAGAACTAAAATCTTCATAGATTTTTTAAACGCGCTCACTAGTGACTAGGGATGTTATGGATATGTAGTTTCGGTTATGGATACGGTTACGGATATAGTAATAATATTATACCGGTTTCGGGTACGGTTACCGATATTTTTTTATTTCGGATATCCGAAATTTTTGGTTACGGTTACGGATATCTGTGCTTTAGAATGCAATTTTTTTTTAATGCATAACAAGGCAGGTATTTGACCACAATCGCACCTGATGTTAAGTGGGATGCAGTCTAGGATGGTACATATCTGCCCTGTAAGTGCTTATTCACTCTCGCCTTGAAGAGGCCCGGTCCGAATTTGTAATAGTTGTCCAACATGGTTCATTCATGATGGCCGCACACTTTACATCGAATAAAAAGGAATAAAAAAATCAAAATTGATACTAGATGGCATTATAAAGGTAAATCAGGCTGTTATGCCTTTACATTATAATGCTATACAAAAAACAATTTAAACTACCTACATCCGAAACTTTTGAATCGGTTACGGTTTCGGATATTTTTTTATTTCGGATATTCAAAAGTTTCGGTTACGGTTACGGATATCCATAACATCCCTGATTAAATGTATGACGGATTGAACAGCGCCCCTATCGGACTTTCAAGAACTAAAATCTTCATAGATTTTTAAACGCGCTCGCTAGTGACAAAGTTTGATATAAACTCACACACAGCCCTCTGGACGATGCCTTAGGTCTGCAAGTTACAGCATGAAAATAGTTAAGGTCTAGTGTTGAACTGAGTTAATGCAGAGTAGGTAAATACAAATGAGTAGGTCATCTTGATAGAAACGCACCGAGCGCGGTTTGTATGTGAGCGCGCCAATACGTGCGGCGTAACTCCCCGCTAATCCCCGCTAAATTTTGTCAGTGTGTGCGTGCGCGCCGCATACGTATTGGCGCGCTCACATACAAACCGCGCTCGGTGCGTTTCTATGAAGATGACCTACTCATGTGTATTTACTCTGGTTAGTGTCTGATGACACATGGGAGCGGCATGGGAGGTGACATTGACATGTTATTTGACGTGACAGATTATACAAATCTGAAGTCTCGTTGACATTTCATGTCACAAAAATACCCTCCAATATAAGATTTAAAACTTTCACGTTCCATTTCAACCATAGTCTGGTTTGCGAGCACGTAGAATTTTGTCCAATGACCCCAAGCTACTCATCCTTATCGCTCGCGCGTAATTATGTTGCTGTCGCGACTGTGCGACGGGCGCCCGCAGTGAGCAATATAATTACGCGCGAGCGATAAGGATGGGTAGTTTGTGGTCATTGGACAAATTTCTACATGCTCGCAGACCGGGCTTTAACTATAATATCTATTGCATACAGAAATTGAACCCAATCTACTCATACTTATCGCTCGCGCGTAATTATATTGCCGTCGCGCTCGCACACTCACTGCGGGCGCCCGTCGCACAGTTCGACAGCAATATAATTACGCGCGAGCGATAAGGATGGGTAGCTTGGGGTCATTGGACAAAATTCTACGTGCTCACAGACCGGGCTTTAGGCGTTCAAATGGTACCAATGCAATGTTGGTGGGAAGTGGAGATGCATACGTTTGATAAGTGCTTGTCGCGAGAGGGTCGATTTTTGTGATGATCAGTATAGAATGATACATGTGCCATGTTGAGAGACCGTATGAATGAGACACGGGTTTAAGTTAGTCTCTGATATTAATCTGTTTATTAACACGAACTGCGTGACTATTTATACGATATAGATTAAAGGTAAATGACGTCACAGCATCAGCACTATACGTGATAAATGTGCTGACACTGTGAATGTGATCAAGATAAGATGTGAAGAGATTTAGTATTGTGCATACCGGCACAATACACATTGACAATATAAAGTTTAAAATATTTGCCTCATTCCTTCCAGCGCGTTATTCCACCCGATCTCGCCGCCGTCCCCTCTCCCCGCGTCCCCCGCGTCCCCCGCGCCGCGGTCGCCGCCGCCCGCGCCGCCGCCCCGGAGGAAGGAGGAGCCGCCCAAGCTGAGGATCGGCCCGAGCACTGGGCTGTTGGGTGAGTTGATTATAACCAGCGGTTCCCAAACTTATTTTGTTTACTGCCCACTTTGAGAATAAATTCTTTTTAGCGCCCCAATTTGTAGTCGAGAGTCGAGTGCTCAGTCGGTGTCTAAGAGACCTCCTAGTAAATGACGCCTCCTAAGCCTCTACACACCCGATTTTTTTTCTGGGTCTCTTACCGCCCCCCTTTAAGCCTGCAGCGCCCACAAGGGGGCGTTATCGCCCACTAGCGACGCGTGTGTCCATAAATAACCAATTTTAGGATGAAAATGTGAGTAACTTTATTTAACTTTTTTTTTCATAAATAGGATCAGTATCAATAATTTTTTTTTTCGGTGATAAAAATTTAGTGGTGTATAGCAGGGTTCAAAATTATCAAGGTAATTATGCTTCATGATAATTATCAGATAATTATCGGATAATTATCATCAGTATAAGATATATTTGTCATATAGTTTCATAAAAAAATCTAATGTTACATCGTTTATAGTCAAGTTATTTGTTGCATAAGTGTAAATGCAGTCTAAAAAAATCACTCGCCTTGAAGCGAAAGAGTGGATCGTTCTTTTTTCCAGGAAACTTACTTAATTCAAATTAAAATGCAATGTAATGATTTCATGGAGCTGATCTGGCGAGGAAGCCGGAAAGTGGCCATAGAAAAGTGGCCGGTGTAACGATGAAACCCTGTCGACTCGGCTCGTTTGATTTGTCGTGACAGTTATTCTGGCTTGAGATGATATCCAGGGTCTAATTTAATAAATAGAAGCTTCATTTTCGAATTAATTTATTCTTAATACAATGCTAAGAGATTTCTCCTTTCCATTTTCCAGGCAGCTTCGAGGAATCCGCCCTAAAAGGCCGCCTAGAGCCGGTAGCCACCGTCGCAGGCTTCACGGCTGAGTTGGGCGCTTCCGGCGCCTTCTGCCCGCCACACCGCCGACTTCCGGTCACCGTGTTCTTCTATGCCCCTGGAGGCACTAACGCTCCGTATATGGTACGTATATAGATCGTTTCATCACACACACACACACACACACACACACACACACACACACACACACACACACACACACACGCGCACGCACACACACACACTCACACACACACACACACACACACACACACACACACACACACACACACACACACACACACACACACACACACACAGATCTCTATATTTTTTTGATTGTTGTGTTCCTAACTATTTATACATATAATTCTCCTTATTTATATTTCTTTCTTAATTTTAAATATTTTTTACTACAGTAGAACGCCGATTATCCGAATTAATTGGGACCGGGGTCGATTCGGATAATCGAAAATTCGGATAATCGGACATAGACTGGTAATAGAGAAAAACGAACTGTCACACATAGAATAAACTTTAATAAGTTTAAAAAACAGACATATTTCTACTGAGCGTTATTGTAGAACTGCTACAATAACGCTCATTTGAAATATATCTCAGTTCCAAAAAAAAAAATCAAAAATTACTTGGTTTTATTTTTTTATATTACGCTTAGGACCGATTCGGATAATTGGCGATTCGGTTAATCGGCGTTCGGATAATCGGCGTTCTACTGTATGTAAATTACAAAAAATAAAATTAAAATAGGCATTATAAAACAAATCTCCTTATTATTATTATTTTAATTTGACCTTACCTTAACCTTTCTTTCCAGGGCCACATAAACCTAGGTCCCCACGGGTACCGGGTCGCCCGTTCCGGCACCATCCAGGTGTCCCTCTTCAACCCCCACGGGACACTGGTCAAGATGTTTGTAGTGCTGTACGACTTGACAGCGATGCCTCCCGCCGCGCGAACGTTCCTGCGACAGCGAACGCTATACATGCCCGCCGGCGCCGATCCGCCTGCTCGATACGCTCATAAGTGGCTGCGGTACCTTATACACTTGAGGTAAGCTCAATGTACCTTATACATGACGTTCAGTATCTTATACATGTCGTTCAGCACCTTATACATGTCGTGCAGTACCTTATACATGTCGTTCAGTACCTTATACATGTCGTTCAGTACCTTATACATGTCGTTCAGTACCTTATACAAGTAGTTCAGTACCTTATACATGTCGTTCAGTATCTTTATACATGTCGTTCAGTACCTTATACATGTCGCTCAGTACCTTATACGTGTCGTTCAGTACCTTATACATGTCGTACAGTACCTTATACTATAAGTATTATACATGTCGTTCAGTATCTTATAGGGTACCTTATAAAAGTGATTTGTTACGGTACATTATGTCTGAGATGAGCTTGTTACGGTACCTTCGTTCGTTCGTTTCAGCCAAATGACGTCCACTGCTGGACAAAGGCCTCCCCCAAGGTTTTCCACAATTAACGGTCCTGCGCTGCCCGCATCCAGGCTCTTCCCGCGACCTTTACCAGATCGTCGGTCCACCTAGTGGGATGCCTGTCCGCACTACGTATTCCGGCTCGTGGTCAACAACACTTATGTTGCAGTCTACCCATATTATACCAGATTCATATACCACAATCATTATGACTTTATTTTCTTTCTCTTTGTCGGCCGTTTGGTGTAGTGGTTCAGAAACGGACTACTATGCCGAGAGGTCCTGGGTTCGATTCCCGGCCGGGCAGAAATTGAAATGATGAATTTTAATTTCTGTGACGGGTCTGGGTGTGACTATGTATAATATTTATGTATTTACAAAAAAAAGTATAAGTAGTATATCCGTTAAGCTAGCACCCATAACACAAGCATTAAGTTGCTTACTTTGGGGCTAGCTGGCGCTGTGTGAAATTGTCCAAAGATTTATTTATTTATTTACTTTCTTCCACAGATTCATGACGTCGAAATCCGGCAAACTGTACCTCCACACAGACATACGAATCATCGTGTCAAGGAAAGCGGATCTGGACACAGCGACCGCTCACTCGCTGTTCCGGCCCATAGCGAATGGCGACAGCGAGAAAAACAGCGAAGAGAAAGACTCAAACAGCGGGAGCGATCAGAAAAGATCTCCGAACCGCGTTTTCGGCGGTTCAAGCGAATTTGATTCCGAAGTGAAGGGCATGAGGGAGATTGGGTACGAAAACCAAAATGGCGTCTCGTACGAGCTAAGGAGTTTTACGTACGCTCCAGAAAACCCTAAGTATTCGCCGCGATAGGCTGTTATGTGTATCCATGAGAAAATATATTTTTGGTTTTATATATTCGGCTGTTTTATTTTATACTGCTGTCTTTCCTGTAGCCTTATTCACGTAACAAAACTGCAATGACAACAAATCGCTGAGTAGCGATCCTATAGAGTAATCGTTCTGTCAAAATGACCCTTGTGAATACGGATTTAGAACTGTTTTTCAATAGGACGACTTCTGAACGTCAGCGAGAAAATACGTGACTGACTGTCAAACAAAATACGTGAATTAGGCCAAAGAGAACACTAAATCCGGGCCTCTTCAAGGCGAGAGTGAATTACACGCTGTTACTTTGCATCCTTGTCATATTCGTAGGGATAAAGGTAGCGAAAATATCTATTTTAGATTGTACCTATTATTGCCATAAAAAGCACACTGAGTTTCTAGTTTTGGATTGGCAGTACAAATTGGAATATAACAATTTTGTCTCACACGTGCATCAGGCTTTTTACAAAAGTGGCAAAAAGAATTTTAAAAACAGTAGATTGCAGTAGAATTTAAAAATACAATAAATCCAAACTCTTTGGCCAACCAAAAAGTACACAAACACGCCACGAGGGGCGCTGCTCGTTCGAATCTTAAAAACGCGGGAACTACCTACGTCAGTCAAGAAAAATGGCGCGCGCGTGCGAGTGAAAAACCGCATTAACAGTGTAAACACCCGCTTTGTTCTCGTAAAATGCTGTGCATTGTGTGTAGTGAGTGCAGCAAGACCACAAAAACTATCGGATGTGAGCCCCGGGCGATCTCAAACCCAGGGCTTTGCAAGCAAGCGTCGACAGCGTTGACCAAGTAAGTAAGTCCTAAAACTTTTCTTACCTGTAGCTAGTCAACATAGAAACTGCCCAGGTTCAATATTTCTATACATTAAGAATAAAAATACTTATAATCTAAAGCATAATGTGAGAAAATACAGGCTACAGTGTGACCGGTTGAGAAGGTAGTTAAACAAAATGTCCTAACGAGTAAAGACCCAATACATTGAACTGTCCCACCCGTGACATTGACAGGGGGCGCCACCGTCAATACCGGATCGCTGGTTCCGATTTTTGCCATGTTGGAAACTCCTACAGGTTGGAATTTTGTAATGCCACCTGGAGGGAAAGTACTCTTAATACTGTAGATAGAAAATTTTACTCAAAGAAAACATTCCTTTATTTTTGAAAAGAAAGAGAACTGCATTCAAAGATTTTTGAAGATTTTCCGAAAATTCACCACCATACAATAAAATTTTCTGTAAATAATAAAAATAATTTCAGATTTCATCGTTTTTCTTTCATTTGATTTATCAAGTTTGTTAGAGAGATTTCATCCTATTACTTAACCCTAACGATCGATGCAATAAAAATACAGGGTGTAATTTTTAACATATTTTAGTTGGTTCGATTCCCGGGTGTAGCAAGCAAATTTTTGGAAATTTTTGAATGTAGTTTTATTTCTTTTCAAAAATAAAGGAATGTTTTCTTTGAGTAAAATTTTCTATCTACAATATTAAGAGCACTTTCCCTTCAGGTGGCATTACAAAATTCCACCCTGTATAGTTGAACGATTGTGGCGCCCCCTGTCAATGACTTTGGTGGGACAGTTCAGTGTAGGTCATCTCTAACAGTGTGAATTGATGGGATTTTTTTCCCAACTGTGACTATATATTAGTTTCAGAAATTATTCAATGCAAACAAACAATCAAATCTTTCCTCTTTATTCGTGTAGGTAGATGAAACAGACTACGATTATAAAATCAAAATCAAAAAATATTTATTCAGTTTAGACCACAAGTGGCACTTATGAACGTCAATAGAAAATAATAAAAAAAGAAAAAGGTAGCCCTTATGGGGCACTTTACATGTCTCCTTATCTTTTGGGCCCTACCAGCGCTTCGAGACAAACATATGGCAAGTGCTGAGAAGAAACGCCGGAACAAACTCAGTCACCACTTATTGCCAGGAATTATCTAACGGTAAGAATAGTCAAATTTAAGTACATCAAATATGTGCAGACTGAACTGACCACGCATCCTTGTCATCAATATAGTCTCGAACCTTGTAGTACCCTTTGGACATAAGGGTATTTTTTATATGTATCTTAAATTTGTTTATTGGCAATTCGACAAGGTTGTGTGGTATTTTGTTAAATATGGTAATACATTTCCCCAAGAATGAATTACCTATCTTATGCAACCTAAATGATGGAACAGCAAGTTTATTCTTATGTCTCGTGTTAAATGAGTGGACGTCACTTTTCTTAGTAAATAAATGTATATGTTTACGGACATACATAATGTTATCAAATATGTATTGCGAAGCCACAGTCAATATATTGATTTCTTTAAAAACTTCTCTAAGCGAGTCACGTGGTTTAAGACCGTATATTGCCCGAACAGCTCTTTTCTGTAAAATGAAAATTGATTCTATGTCTGCTGCTGAGCCCCACAGTAAAAGACCATAAGACATAATACTATGAAAATAACTAAAATATACAAGCCTTGCTGTTTCAACATCAGTCAAGTTTCTGATCTTTCTCACCGCAAAGGCAGCTGAACTAAGTCTTCCCGCCAAGGCAGCAATATGGGGGCCCCATTGTAATTTACAGTCTAGGGTAATACCTAGAAAGACAGTAGAGTTTATCAGTTCAATGCGTTCATTATTTACTGTAATATTAGTATTAACTTGTTTGACATTAGGCATAGTGAATTTTAAACATTTGGTTTTTTTTGCGTTTAATAGCAAATTATTAGTTGTAAACCAATTTAATACTTTGGAAAGAGCATTATTCACGTCGTCAAATATTTCCTGACACCTGTCAGTTTTAAAAATTAAAGATATTAATTAATATTATAATATAATATAATATTAATAGATAATTCGGGATTTAAATACAAAACTAAATAGGTTGAATAATTTATTTTCAATAATAAATTAATAACACGACAATCATACAATAAATAAAGCAATGCACACATTATGGCGTCAACTTACACTACAATTAGGTAATTCTTATAGCTCACGGGTGGCCAACTTGAAGACATAAGCTCATACTGTTTACTAACGAAACCCTGGGTGATCTTCACTTACATACTTCTTGAAATCTTAAATGAAACAGCATAGTTTAGTACACAATCTTGTGGTATTTTTTGCCTAGCCACGATCGACCGAACTAATAATCGCGATCGACCGGTTGGCCACCCCTGTTATAGCTTAGGCTTAGGTCCTGGTCATGGGTTTTTAAGGGATCCAGGGGGTTCGGAAAGCATCAAGATTCGAATCAAATCAAAATCAAAATATTTATTCAGTACTTAGGCTCTTTCTAGGGCACATAAACACGTCCCAAATATAGCTTGCCCTACCACCACTTCGGGACAACATATGGGCTGGTGCTGGGAAGAAATGGCGGTAGAAAGTTAAGTCATATTTGGAGATACTTTATTATTTCAGATACTTTTCTATTTCTTTCTTTCTTTCTTCAAAATGCGAATAACTGACTGACCAGCTGAATAGACCCATTATCTCCTTGCCCCTTGCTTTATTCTGTTTAGACCGCAGACCCCCAATGATAACTATAAGGGGTCCATACGGGACTATTCCCACCTCTTGTTCCCACCGCTGCAACTCCTGTGTAGCCAGGATCTACAGCTTGACCGCCATTAAAAACCCAACCAGTGAAGGTCACGTTTGTCCCGAGGAAAAGTTAAACTGTCATTGGACCCGCAACGAAATTAATCAGAAGAACATAGGAGTTTTTAACTACAGCTACGCCTATGGGTCTAGAAGTTTAGCAACGTATGGACTAACAATTAGTTAAATAAATTATCTACTATTTGTACAATTTTATAAATACATACTTAACATAGTTTTAAATAATATAAACTGGGGGTCGACTAAGTATGCAGGGACAATAGGGAATATGCATTTCTTTAGCCTTTAAATCATCCAGTAATTTTATTTTCCAAAAACATATTTTATAATAATATCTACCTACCATCTTGTGACGTCACTTGAAACAACAAGCAGCGTCTTTTTGTAGTTTTTTGGGGCGTGTTGTGACGTCACGCTTAGTGATTTCTTTTTTATTTCCAGTCCGATTTTGATACTTGTCTTACAGATAATCTAGGCCTTAAATAAATACTGTTGTAACAGAAAAATGATGCACATTCCCTATTTAAACTGTCTTTCTCAGATTCGGAAAGATTAGCCTCAAAATAAATAAACTTAAGACTATTTAAGCTAACTGACTGGGGTTTAGTCTTTAGTGAGTAGAGGGCGGTACTGGACGTCTTGCCTCTCCTGCGCATGGTAGGGGGAGGCGGGGAGGTCTTCCAGTTCGGCTGTCTCCTGTGGAAGGACAATACAGGATAAGTAATGAAACAATACAGTATAAGTAATCGGACGATACAGGATAAGTAATTGAACAATACAGGATAAGTAATGAAACAATACAGTATAAGTAATCGGACGATACAGGATAAGTAATCGAACTATACAGGATAAGTAATCAAACAAGACAGGATAAGTAATTGAACAATACAGGATAAGTAATTGAACAATACAGGATAAGTAATCGAATAATACAGGATAAGTAATCTAAAAATACAGGATAAGTAGGTAATCGAACAATACAGGATAAGTAATTGTACAATACAGGATAAATAATCGAGCAATACAAAATAGAGAGAAGTAATTGAACTACATATACAGGGTGGAATTTTGTAATGCTACCTGGAGGGAAAGTACTGTTTAATACTGTAGATAGAATATGAATGCAGTTCTCTTTCTTTTAAAAAATAAAGAAATGTTTTCTTTTGAGTAAAATTTTCTATCTACAGTATAACAGTACTTTCCCTCCAGGTGGCGTTACAAAATTCCACCCTGTACTTATTGTGTTTTAAAGTGACGCAAGTCCTATATCTATAGTTCCAAAATACTAAACTGTCCTATCCATGACATTGACAGTGGGGCGCTACCGTCAATACCGGATCGCTGGTTCCGATTTTTGCCATGTTGGAAACCATATAGTTGAAC